ATAAAAAGTTTCGGTGAGTAAAATATGTGTTATTTAGATGTTTTATTTAGTTATCAGCTTATTATATAACCGTATTGATGCTGTTAATGTATGGCACAGCTGTGGCTGCAATTGAGAAAACTTATTAAATGTGTCGCTTCAGTGATGACTTTCATTCTGGCTTCTTGAGACATATGTCTATGTGGTGCACAGCATCATATTGTTCTGCGTTTCTGTGTATTATTGGTGGTTTTTGTAGTCGTGGCTTCGTGTCAAGTTGTACATATTGTCTGTAAATTAGACAGGTTTCTCCCGTTTTACATACAGACCTGTAGTCAGCAGCGTAACCCCCCCTGCATCTCCGCGTCCAGCAGGTCTGTTCTCTCCTAATTGAAGGCCTAGGTGTAAAATGTACGGCCCGCCACTGAGGTCAGCTGACTACCTGAATATACTGAATGACCAGGTTATTCCATCAATGGMTTGTTTCTTTCCTGATGGCATGGCCATATTCCAAGATGGCAATGCCAGGATTCATCGAGCTGGAATTGTGAAAGAGTGGTTCAGGGAGCATGAGACATCATTTTCACACATGGATATGCTCCACAGAGTCCATTGAGAAGCTTTGGGGTGGGCTGGAGAAGGTCAGATTCTACCATCATCAATGCAAGATCTTGGTGAAAAATGAATGCAACACTGGATGAAACAAATATTATGACATTGCAGAAGCTTATCCAAACAATGCCACAATAGCTGCGTTTCCATTGCAAATGTGCGCAAAACTTTTGTCGATAATCCATTAATGTCGAAAAACACAGTTTTCCAATTGCGGTGTTTCCATTAAGTAAGAAATGCTATTAAAGTCACGCGTGAATACGCTTGTTCTCACGATAATTCATTACAAACATGGCTGCAATGGATGTAAACACATAGCATATTGCTACCACACTAGCGCTCATCATCAGCCATCAGAGGAAACGTTGGCTTCTTATCGAGGCTTTCAAGCTACAAGCCCCTTATACTTGGGAGTGGATAAGTATGCTGTGTTTTTAGGAAAATGTAGTCAGTGAGTTTAAAACTTTCTTTTACTACTTTAGGGATTTTACTGCTACTTTTACTTCCTATTATCTTCTTCTTCTGCTTCGTCTTCTCGCCAGTAGAAACAGCCGGTTCTTGATCACGTGACTCCCGTGATGCGAAAAAGTGTTTCCATTGCAGTTTTGCGAAATACATCAATTTTGATACGGCCGAAAAACCACCTCATCCTAGCGCAAAAACATTTTGTTGAAAAACGTAATTATTTTCGAAATTGACGTGTTCCCATTGAGCAAATTTATTTTCGAAWTTCTAATTTGCGCATTTTCATGGTCAATGGAAATGCAGCTAGTGAATGTGTGACATAATCAAAGGTAAAGGCGGTCCAACGAATATTAGAGTGTGTGACCTTTTTTTTTTGGTGGTGACTTTTGTTTGACCTTGTGAAACGTAAAAAGGCAAACAAATGCTTGAGATRAGTTTGRCCCCCTACTAAGATCAATCAAGGGAGATGCCAGTGGCAACAGCTCTTTTCTCCCAGGATCACGATTCATCTTATGGGAAAAAAAAAAGTCTAGTTACAATACTATTTGGTAACTATTTGGATTTTCCATTATTTTTGAAATGTGCTTCAACAAAAGCTTAAACAAACTTTCCTTGAATGGATTTGTTCCCGGAACCTTTTCAAAGTTTTAAACTGCATTGCTATGTGAAATTGTACCTCCCACAAACTAAACKAATGCAATAAATTACCACTAATGTTTGCTCAGGGGTGTAACCAGCAGAGATTTGTAAGTCTGAAAGTTTTTAACACATCAGAATCCCTCTAAAGACTTGCTATAATTTGGAGAGTTGCCTTCAAGAACGAAAAGGCATATTTGGACTTAATGAACGTCAGTAAATTTACCTGTTAGCTCTGTCCGGCGGGGTCTGTTAACGCCTCGCTTCACGTTAGTGGTTTATTGTCTTCCAAGCAAACAAACTCCCTTGAAAGTGAAGAAAGTTTCTCATCTTTATTTTTCCTTTGCAGATTTTTGCAGCTCTGGAACTTCCTCAYGCCTCCGTCTTTTGTCGAGAGCACTCCACACTCAATCAAACCTCTTTCCCGCTCATCCAGGCAGCGCTTGCTCCATCCCTCCTGCTGTTTCCTCTCTCCTGTCTTGTTTTAACTCAGCGCTGTTGGGTTGTAAGGGAAAAGAAGAAATGGCGAGACAGTCTTGTTCTCGGTGTCCTTGCATGTCGGTATTTCTTTTTGGCTCTGCGGGTCAACCGCAGTCACACATCGCTCCTTAGTGAAGKGGTGTTTTGCAGAGTCTCTCACTGGGGGCTGTTATTCCAGCCTTTTTCCTTTTTAGCTGAAAAGGGGACACTTTGCTCTGCATCGTTTATTCCATCACAAAGGGTGGAAAAAAAGAGGGAAGTGGGGAGAAAGGGATTTATAGAAATCAGCTCAAAGTCAAGCATTCTTCAAAGAACAAGAACAAAAGAATTTATTGTTGGTGCCCATGCTTAACACATATAAGGATGTGAACTAGCAGCTCTTGTAATCTTTGGGTCTCTTGTCTAAACTGTATTCAACTCTGTGTTTCAGGCAACTTGGCTTGGACCTGGTTCCCAGGCGGGAGTTCAGCATGGTGGACCCTGATGAAGTCAGCGTCACAGAGCTTTACAGACTGGTGAGCAGCCTTCCAGCTCTTCTCTGTGCTATCCGTTCAAATCAGCGGTCCCATTTGTGGTGCGGGCGATTAGGGGAACCCGCTCTCAGATGGGTGCAGGCCTGAGTTTTGGCAAGTCTTTGCTCTCCCAGATTGCTCTATTTTAAGATGCTCAAATCAGTGCGCTGCCGTGCATCGAGCCCTGTGGAAAAGAACCAGTGACATTATAGGTTTTGTCACGTTATGACTGTACTGTGTTGCTTTAGGTCTTCTTGTTTATGTATAACTGACCTTTTTGTTGCAAATTTTTTTCTGCAGGGTGTTTTGTACCTCTGCTGTAGTAGCAGCAGTAGGGGTTGTATGATAATGTTTTCTGTTCTTGTGACAGTAAAGTATAATATATTAGCCGTGTCTCAATTGCGGCCCTCCTAGACCACCAGTGTCGACTGCATTAAYGGCTGTGAAATGAGACGGTCTACTCTACGAATGACCTATGTTTGTGTGACCACGCACTGCCCCGTTACCTGTTGTCTTTTCATGGTATAACATCACAAAATTTTTATTCTCTTTTAAGAAAAATGACATACAAATAGTGTTGCTTTATTCTTTTAGACCTTCTTGGCTCTTGTTTGTGACTCCTACAAGGACGACATCTGAACGTCAAGAGAAGCCCATACTTTTTTCACCATCTTAGTGCATTTTTTTATTTATTTACCGTTATTTAACTGGGCAAGTCTCGTTGAGATAGCAGATCTGTTTTTCAAGGGCGGCCTGTGCCTGAAGGCCACCTATTGAACATGTTTTTGGGGTGGCGGAAACTGGAGTACCCGGAGAAAACCCACGCAAGCATGAGGAGAACATGCAAACTCCACACATAAAGACCCCAGGTCCGAACCGGGGATCGAACTTTCTTGCTGTGAGGCGTCGGTGCTAACCACTGAGCCGTCGTGCTGCCAATTAATCAGGCAGGAACAATGGTGTTCTAATCTTTTTTTTTGKTTTGTTTTACGGATACAAAATAAAGGTAAAGATTGGGCCAGTCACGATAAGCAATAAATCTATTAATCGCACCATAAATTAAAATGGTCAATTTTCATTTGCCTGCTTGTCCCTTGGTTGAAGTGAACTCTAACGCCAGGCTTTATTTTTTTTTACATGACATAAATCGCTTAAACTTCCTTAAGCTTCACAAGCAGGGGGTCATTATATYAGTTTAAAATGGTCTCAAAACAATATAAYCGTTTATCGCGATAATTTCTGAGACAATRTATCGTCCAGCGAAATTTGTTCTTGTGACCGACCTAGTGAAGATGTTTTATATCTTTTGAAAAACTTCACATGCTTTGAAATAATGTAAATAGCGAGGGTCTCAGCTCAGTCATTGGTGTTTTGTGAGCTGGAAGCTAAATAGCTAAAGAACGACTGAGCAAGATTGTTGGAAATGTTCTTTAACTTGGTGTTGATTCAGGATCATACTGTACAGTCGTTATTTTATTATTTTCACATAATTTCACACAATCCAGCCATTTTCCCCTTTAATACAGCAGACCCAAACCTACACATAAATATATTTATAGACATAAATCTGTCTTTTAAAGGTCAGAAGCTCAGGAAGCTAATATTCTGAGGGAAACTGAAGTTAGTAAACATGTTGCGCCTGTGTGTGGGGTTGTCTTCTCTAGTTCTGTGTGCCCTCGGCACCAGCCTTTCTTTTAATCTTATCCCACCACGGCGTGTGGGGGGGCCGCAGTCATTTTGTCCGCCGTTTAATAGAGGTGTGTTAGGCTTTCATCCTGCTTTTCTTTTGACTAACAAAAATAAATAAATAAATAATAATAAACAGATGGATTAAGAGGCTCAATTACCCCTCTGAAGGGAAAGCCAGCACAGTGTGTGTGTGATATGATTCTCCCTGGTCTGTGTCGGGGAGGAGAAGTGGTTGTCACAGTAACAGTGGTTGGGACTTGGAGGAAACGGGAAGGATGGGCGAGCAGGCGGGCAGGCGTGGGGGTGGGGGGGTAGACAGTGGGAGAAGGAAGGAGAGAAATATGGAAGCAGATGGAAAGGGGGCCACATTCAGTACAACAGTTCTAGTGCTTGTAAAGAAAACACTGATGTTAATGACACACAATATGAAACACAGACCAGCTGTTACTGGGGTCAACATTGACTCAGTCCCAGGATAACATAGAAGACATACTTAAAGGCACAGTGTGTAGGATTTGTTGTTTTCAGCGACATCTAGTGGTTGAGTGGTTGAATCATCCTCCCTGGTCCTCCCCCCACCCCCACCCCCCGCTTCCAAACACAAAGGAGTTTCTACGGTGTCTCTCAGGTGTCAAAAACCTTTGATAATTCCAACCKCGATGTCTACCAGCAGCTTCAGGGCTAGTGATGTTTCAAGTGGTAAGATTATGAGCTTTAATAAGTAAAATTATCCCAGCTACAATGACAGACAACAAATATTACATTTATAGTATTACAACTAAAACCGTTTTTGACGCCGCCACCGCAGTTTGTCCTTCATGAGCCTTCGTAGACAAGATGGCGGCTGCCTGTAGTGGCGACCCGCGACCDTGGAGATATAAACAGCTTTTTATAAGGTAAAAATAATRAAACAAGGTCTTTGTCTGCAATGATTAGACATGTTTTTTATTATTTTCATTAGTGATTATCTCAATTTCGGCTAAAAGAATTGACAAAATCCTACACACTGTGCCTTTAAGAGGGAAAGTTGTTAAAATTTGAAAGGATTTGAAATGTTTGTAAAACCTAAAATTCGAATAAACTTGAAGGATAGATGTACCTCAGTTCAAGAAATAAGATTGTGGAATGACTTGGACAGCCATTATAAAAATGCTGGCTCGATTAATTCATTTGGTAGAATGATAAAAGTTAAATTGTTGAAAAGATATGAAATTATAATATGTATTCTACAAGCTGAATAGTGGTAAAAGTTTTTTGTTATGCTGTTGAGTATGTGAAAATATTATATATGTATACATATGTACATATGTGTGTGTATGTATATATATATATATTATTTTGTTAAATAGGGTCAGATGTAAGATTCTTTTCTTCTGCTTCCTTTCATTTATGAGATTTGTGTTTCTTTTTTGTTATGTTGAATTTTTTGTTTTTAATTGAAATGAATAAACTATTAAACCAAACTAAACTAAAAATAAAATGATTTTGCCATTTCTACGAAATTGGCTCATGGAAATATGGCACCAATAGCTAACCTCATTTGTAATAAATAAATAAAGAACTAAACAACATACAGTATTTCAAATAAAAGACCATCAAAGAGAAAATATTTTTAACAATTGTTACTTCAATAAGGAGCTCTTGTAGAACGGCTGTTGTAGCCTAATCAGCATTCTTAARGTGTATAGTTTCAGAAGTTATTAAACAAACCTGTTTTTTGATTGGCAGCTTTGTGTATTACATTGCTTAGGTTGAAGGTTATCTGTAAAGGAAATTGTTTGCCTTGACTTTTTTAAAATGACTGGTGCACGTCTTGTGTTGTGTAGTTCTAACAGCAGCGTTAATGTAAGAAAGATAATCAAAACTTGTTTTATATCCTTAATTAGCTCCCCAGTCTCAGGCCAACACTGTTCATTTGGGAAAACCCTTTGTAGCACGAATTCAACTGAATATCAAACTACTTCTGTTTTTTTTTCTTCTCCTCTGAGACTGAGATCAGTCCAGACCTCAAGCTGAGCAAACCAGAGTTTAGATCCCTCTGTGATTAATTCATCACCTGCGGTATTTCATTTAAAAGATAACCTCAGAAGTGCCCTCTGTGCAGTTTATCTTCCCACAAATGAGATGTAAAGAAGCTTAAACAGTCGAGTGAGTGATGGGAGGATATAAAAAGACTAGTAGTTTCCCTGTGGCCTCTGCTTGACCTGTTTTTCCACTTGTTGCGCTTCGCTCTGTTTCAGGAAAAAGCTCTCGGAACGTTCCGTCTTTGTTCGGCCGTCTCTGGTCTGCGCCATCGTCACATCCCGGCAGAAGGGATGCCATTCTCTGCTGTCTAGTCGTGCAGAAGCTGTCACCACACGCTGCCCCCGCCGGGCAGGCCCTAATGACGCGCTGAAAATAACCACGCAATGAAATCCCACTGCAYGAATTAAGGCTTTCCCCAGACCTAGTCATTTCACGTCCAAACAAGCAGCTCAGGCCCGCTCTGTGTTGCAGCGCACCGTCACCTTGTCGTCAGCTCATCCCGACAGCAGTGGGTTATTTCTGGGGTTCTCGGTCAGGCAGGACATTCATGACCAAGCAAAAACATCATGTTAATAGCTGCTGCGAAATGATTTGTGGTGTCGTTTTTGTGGGTGTCAATACTTTGTCATTTGTTTGCTTACAGTGCAGCAAACTGTTTTCTAACGCATACCGTTCATTATATAGTATTCTTAGTCGCTGTTTATCTCATGTGACTTGACGTAAATCATGTTTAGGAGGCCTCACACCTTCTCTGACACATTTGATTGTTGTTTTGTCTTTATTGTTCTGTCCAGGAAAAAAAAGTCTTTGTTTAGCGGTAGGATCTGTTGTAGGTTCTCCAGCATTTTTGTAGCTTATTTGATTTTTGTAGAACTGGGGGTTTCCAAATGTCAAGCCATTTTAACACCAACCAGTGAATCTTTACAGGATAAGAGGCTCTTGCAGAAAAGTTTAATTTAGTTTGATGTGTAAATATCTTCATATTTTGTTTAGTTTCAAATTCAAATTCATTTCAAAAATACTTTACTGATCCCAGAGGGAAATTAGGTAATTAGTAGGGGTGCAACGATACAGAAAATTCACGATTCGGTTCGGTTCGATACTTTAGTCTCACGGTTCGATATTTTTCCGATACAAAAAAGGATAAATTTCCATGCCCCTTTTAACTTGTAATTTATTTAAATTAGTTATGAACATTTGTTTACCGTTTTTAAATTAAATGTTGCTGAAACAGCAAGTTTTTCAGTGGATCTGCGCTCAAAAATGCAGCCTAGGTGGAGTCGTCGAACACAGATCCACTGATCCTTCAACACAGAGCATCTTCACAAGACAAGTTGATAAAGTAAATTTTAAAAATCTGCACTGTTCGATACGGTTCGATACGGGTACATGTATTGTTGCACCCCTAGTAATTAGGTATTAGTAGGTTTATATTTTTCAACCCTTTCAGTTTTTTCTGTTTTTTTTCTATGACGTTTTCTGAACTACTGTGTCAAATTATTTGTGACAAAATTCTCAAATAAGACTTACCAACTATAATTTAGTGGTCTTCATTCTCCTCTGGCTCCAACATGTAAGGCTGGATGGACAAGTCTTCCCTTGTTCACATTTTTTTAAGTTATTTGTAAAAGTTAAAATGTTTCTGCGCAGCTATATAGTCCTAACCCCCTCTATCAAACTAGAATGGATCAGTCTGGAAGCTGGAGGGGGAGGGGGTGAAGCGCCTCGTTTGGATTTAAAAAGACAAAAGACTTCAAAATGAGTTGACATGAGACATGCTTCAGAAAAGGGGCGGGGCTTKTGGAGTTACAATAAGGAGGAATTCAGACCAAAGCATTGCYGTTCCACTTTATTTAGACCCCAACTGAAGGATTTAAATGCAAAAAAAGGATTTAAAAGCATCACGTGTCCTTTAAGCTGTCAGCAACCTGAAGCATAATAAACCATTAGTCCTGTAAAAAGGCGTCTTTTCTCAGAAAACGGTGAATGCAAGTTTGTCCAGTGTAAAGATGCTTAGTTAATTTCTGTTAAAGCCCAATTATTTTAGGGCAAAACAAAGAAAACTGAAAGCTTTGGYGCATGTCCAGGTTTTCAATGGTTTCCTTGGCACTTTGCCACAAACAGACAACACCTCAAACTTTCGTCGCCTCCAGTGCGGTTTGAAAAATTATATGCTTTATTAAGTAGATCTCTGTCAACCTAAACTACTGTATATTTGAGTCTGTTTTGGGTTTTCAGTAATATATGCAAATCTGCAACACAAATACTCCCTGTTGGGAGATGTCTCAAGGGAGTATTATTTATCTCTGACTTGGAAATTGGACACTATAAAGACGGCAGCTTTGATTGGTTGGTATTTAAAGGGATCCCTGATTAGTTGTAACATTAGACTTTATTTGATAAACATATATTTTTAACTGTAAAATAAAGACTGTAAAAATATTGTAGGATGTTCATTTTTTATCATTTTTAAACTAAAAGTTTAAAAATATATTACACGGACGGGGCCATTTTATTTACACACAAAGCATTCTGGGTAAATGATGACATCAAGTAGGTCCTCGGTGCGAGGCTGCTAGCGAGCTATATCCACCCTGAAGGTTAATCTTGGACAATATCTGATGATCGACTCTTTTAAATGAAACCAGAGCGTTGACAGAGAGGAGAAGGTAGAAATGACTCAGCCTGTAACTGAAAATATGGATGGAGGACAACAGAGCTGCTTCATGGAAGAAGAACCTCAGCTTAGCCTGTTAGCTTTAGCGTTAGCCCCAACTCTATCACCATATATATGTATTAGCTCAGCGCTACACATTGTCATCTCGTCACTGAGGTCCTCCATCCACATGACAGAGGAGAACGCAAAAATGACTCAGCCTGGAACTGAAAATATGGATGGAAGACCTCAGTTTAGCTTGTCGCACTAGCGCCGAGCTAATACATATAAGGCAATATAGCGTCAGCGCTAGCGAAGAGGCTAACAGGCTAGGCTGAGTCATTTCTACCTTCTCCTCTCTGTCAACGCTCTCTGGTTTCATTTAAAAGAGTCAATCATCAGATATTGTCCAAGATTAACCTTCAGGGTGGATATAGCTCGCTCACACCGATGACTATCCACGCCATCATTTACCCAGAATGCTTGGTGTGTAAATAAAATGGCTCTGTCCATGTTAAAATATATTTTTAAAAATTTACAAAACTAAACAGCCTACAGTATTTTTACAGTCTTTATTTTACAGTTAAAATATATGTTTATCAAATAAAGTCACAACTAATCAGGGATCCCTTTAAAGAAACTTAACCAAATGCATTTTTGTTTGTGAATGTGTTCTGGAGTTGACGCGTGGTTTCGTTTTTCTGTTTCGTCGTTTTTGGCAACCTGAGCTTTTCAAATCATTGCATTCGGTTGTATTTTTTTTTTTTTACATCTCGATATCTAATGTCTTTCTGCTGCAGATGGAGCATCGTCACCGGAAGAAGGAGACGGCAGCGCCTGCTAGCACCCACCACTTGTTTGTCCACGTGAAGAGCCTGATGAGCGCCAACCTGGGGGAGGAGCTCGAAGTCTACTTTCACATTTACGACGGACGGGAGAACCGGCCTCTCAGGTAGAGCTTGTAAAACTCACATCAATTTAAATGAAGTGGAAATCTCTCTGTTGGATGCGAAGGTCCCGCTGCAGCTCTGTTCATGAACGTTTCTTCAACGAAGCGGGCCGTTAAAGCGCACGAGTCGGACACATAAAAGTGGGCAAGGCCGAGTTACTTTCACAAATCAAAATATCTGCTCTCCACATTAAAGCGCTCGTCACCCCGGGAGTCTGCACACGCAWCACACACGCTCACACACACCACATCCTCCTGATAGGGGTGTCACCCTGAAAGGAGACTGTGCTTAAGCTCCCTGGTTTCACAGTTCAAAGAGAAGAAATTCCTTTTTATGTCACAAACAAGAGGCTTGATCAGGAAAAAGAACATGAGGGGGCCGAGAAATGAGTGGGTTAAGGAGAAAAAAAGAAAGAAAAAATGAGCGAGGCAGCAGTGAAACTTGTGATAAGTCATGCTTTAGTGACAATTCTCTCCACCTCACATTCTCACATATAAGAAGCAATATTTTAGCTTCGTATTATTTTATTACTTTATACTTCAAACAGTAACTCTGATTCTTTTCAAMACAAAGTTTCTTTGAATCTTTCATGAAGTTAGAGTAATTCATTGCGTTATATCGTCCTGCACCTTTAAAGGCACAGTGTGTAGGATTTGTTGTTTTCAGCGACATCTAGTGGTTGAGTGGTTGAATCATCCTCCCTGGTCCTCCCCCCACCCCCACCCCCCGCTTCCAAACGCAAAAGAGTTGCTACGGTGTCTCTCAGGGGTCAAAAACCTTTGATAATTCCAACCGCGATGTCTACCAGCAGCTTCAGGGCTAGTGATGTTTCAAGTGGTAAGATTATGAGCTTTAATAAGTAAAATTATCCCAGCTACAATGACAGACAACAAATATTACATTTATAGTATTACAACTAAAACCGTTTTTGACGCCACCACCGCAGTTTGTCCTTCATGAGCCTTCGTAGACAAGATGGCGGCTGCCTGTAGTGGCGACCCGTGACCATGGAGATATAAACAGGTTTTTATAAGGTAAAAATAATAAAAACAAGGTCTTTGTCTGCAATGATTAGACATGTTTTTATTATTATTGTCATAAGTGATTATCTCAATTTCGGCTAAAAGAATTGACAAAATCCTACACACTGTGCCTTTAACACAAACGGCCAAGTGTCACTAAAAGAATCACTTTTAATTATAAAAGCAGTTTCTGATCACTTTTTATCTCTTACATCTAAGATCATCATACGTTATTATTTTATTTTAGAAGTGGGTAATTATCGCTCACTACTCTCAGATTCTGTTCCACTCGAATAATTTCCTCTTTCTCATTGTAATTATCCCTCTCGCCCTTTTCCTCTTTAGCTGCCTATTTCATCCTCTTTCTCCTCCACCGTCTTGTCGCTTTGAAACATTGAGAACATTAGCCGAGTTCGAGTGATGGAACTCCTTGAGATTTGTTGCACAGTTTGCTGTCGAACAGAACTGAAATGAAGTGTGCTCGAGTCACGCAGCTTTAGAAATTGAGCATACCTGAATTTATCCGAAATGAATAAAACATTGAGTGCAGAAAGTTTGGCCTTGTTGCTAGTTTTTTGGGTTTAGACTGGAGCCAGTTCTAAAACTGATGAGAATTGATTTAAACTTCATTGCTAAAGCTACACTGCAAAAAATGTCCATCTTACCAAGTTTTAAAATCTTATATCCAACCAGTCTTTTTGAGCTTGTTTTGAGACTGATTTACTAAACAAGAACTGATTGTATAAAAATAATAATCTTGTTTTCAGAATGTCTAAGAATAATCACCTTCTTTTCAGAATGTGTAAGATTATTTGTCTTGTTAGACTGAAATTTTGACTCAAATTAAGTCAAAAATTTCTGCCAATGGAGTAAGAAAATTTTACTTGGTAAGATTCTTGAAATAAGAAAAAAATTGAGTCAAATCAAGTATTTCAAGAATCTTACCAAGTAAAATTTTCTTACTCCATTGGCAGAAATTTTTGACTTAATTTGAGTCAAATTTTCAGGCTAACAAGACAAATAATCTTACGCATTCTGAAAACAAGATTATTATTCTTACACAATCAGTTCTTGTTTAGTAAATCAGTCTAGAAGGAGATCAAAACGACTTTTAGGCTGGATTTAAGATTTTAAAACTTGGTTAGGTGGTCATATTTTGTAGTGTAGTTCTGAGGTTTCTGTTTAACTTAAGAAATTAAATTACCAATATGTCTTTTTTTTCTTTTAACTTCAGTCATCCAATCCAATAAGCAGTCAATAGCAGAAAAAGCTGCAACAAAAAAACTCAACCAATGTGGCACCATTGGGGGTGTCAACTTCATTTTCATCCCTCAAAGGACCAGTTGTAATAAACTTTGACGTTTCATGTTTAACTTCAACTAAACACAAAACATCATGTTCCTCGTCTCATTGCTATGATTTAGCACCGCTAACAAACAATAACTGAGCTCTACCTGGTATTCACTGCATAGAAACAGTGTTTTAACACATCATTTTACAAACATTAAAAAAGTACTACATGTACGACAGACTAAATGTGAAATAAATAAACAGAAATACTATTAAAAGTAAAAGTAAGAGTTCCCATGTATAATCAACATGCGTTATGGGAGATGTAGTTTATGATCAATGCTGGCTTCAAAGCAGCTTATTTTGAGTCATTGATACTGTGCTATCCAGCTAAATTGCTCAGTTACTTAAAGCCAACAGCTCAGGGGTGGTATTAAGTATTATTATTAAGTATTATTATATTTCACCTTTAAAATGTATTTTATTTTGTTGCAGTTAATAATAAATTTAAAGTTTACCATAAATTTTCATAATAAGAAAACATTTTTTTTTGTTCTTTTGGTGGCCCTTGGTGGGCCAGACGGGAGTCAGATACAGGTCACGTCTGGCCCGTGGGCCTTGAGTTTGACACATGTGATTTAGGGAAATATTCAGAGCAAAGAAGCATTGTTAAAACAAAAAAAATTATTAATCATAAAAAATGTCCTTTCATTATTTAGTTATGTGTTTATATTAATAACTAAACACAGAGATCTAAAAGACCGGTTGGTAATGTCAAGAGCATTCTAAAACAGCTATTATTGTTTAAAAAAAACTTTATTTGTATTCTCTATTTTTTAGTAGCTACCCAGAATACACAAGAGGGAGGATCAGACTGAGTGGAAAAGATGTCTAACGTGATGTAATGACTTTGAGGTGGTTCCCTCTCTAAGGAAAAACAAACCAGTCATAGTTTTTTATGGAACCACTAGAAAAAAKAAAAGAAAAGAAAAAAGCGGGCTTTAGCACCCGCTCTGGTCTAGCACTGGAACCACTTTTGTGGAAAACCCTAAAAAAAGAATGTATACGTAGCTCTGCTTCTCCTTAGCGGGCCTAAATTAAGTAATTATAGATTCAATTCGAGAAGTTATAAAGGAGTTGAAAAGCTTTAAAACGCATGCCTCTAATCAAGATTTTTATTTTGTGTGTGTGTGTGTGTGTGTGTGTGTGTGTGTGTGTGTGTGTGTGTGTGTGTGTGTG